AGAGCAGCACGGGCAGCAACCACATCTAACTGGGCGTTCGGGTGGCCGATCTTCTCGGCCGCCTTGGAGGCGAGCTGGCCGTGCCAGTCGAACTCCATGAGCTTTTGGAGGAGAGCGGGGGAATGTCCTGGGAGAGGGTACTCAATGCCTGAGGAGGTCACAGAAGTAAATGGCCCCTGGAATTTCCAACCGATCCTTTTAAGCGAAAGCACCGCGGCGCTGAGGGGGCCCCTGTAGGAGCCCCAAGATTTTGAAACTCCCGGGAGGATGGCCTCAGCCCAAACACGCAACTGCTGGAGACTGGCCACGGCAAGGTGGGGGCGGGTGGCGGCGGCCCAGACAAGGCGGTGCCACATTATGGCAGGGCCCAGGGCAGCTTTCCACGAGGGGTCCTTGAGGATGAGCAGGGCCAGACTGCGGCTGCGCGTCGGGCAGCGGGGTCCCGCAGCAGCCAAAAACTGCGACCTAGCAGATTCCAACTGCGTGCCATTGATGCCAGTCACCTCGACTCCGAACGTGGTGGCCGCCTCGAGGCCAGTCCTATACAGCTTATGAGTGTTACCCCCAGCTCCCTTGAGCATGCGAACCCTGTTAAGTCTTTTACGCATCTTATCAAGACGCTCCGAAATCTTACGCTGCTTTCTCCAACGGCGTTGGGGCCGTCCAGCCCCTGTTTCACATCCCAGGTTAGGTCCAGACCTATCCGCGTTCGGGCCTGCCAGAGGCCCGAGAGCAGTCCTGATTTGATCCTGAAGGGCTTGTTGGGACGCCAGGACCTGACTTTTCTTGCTGGTGATCTGGCACTTAAACTCATTGATGATGCAGTCTGCCATGGGCCTGGCAGCAATATTGAGCTGGCTGACGATGAGGCCGTAACTGCGGCCGTGGCACTGGAGCATCAGATCATCTATAAACATCGCGAGCCTGATATGACAATGCGCCTGCGTCCACACGTCGGGCGGGGCAAGCACATACATTTGCACAAGATAGGTGGCCCAACTGCATCCTGCGGCAATGCCCCTCCAAGGCTTGCCTACACTGACTGCGCAATCTTGTAGTGCAACTATGCGTTCGCTGGCATATTGAGATACTATGATACGCAATAACCAACACGGGAAACCAGATTCAACAGCACGGTAAGCGAGACATGGTCGATCAGCATGTTCGTAGTAGTTAGATAAATCGTAAAGAACTTGGGCACTATATGGTTGATCTTTGTCAGAGCTATTGAACTCACATTCTAAGGATTGTTTATATACTAATTCCACTATGGAGTGACCAGCCTGATGAGCAAGGTACGGCCTGCGGTGGTGTGCCTCCCACTCTCTGGCCGCTGACCTCCTGAGCCTAGCCCAGACTCTGTACAAAGCTGGGAGCATACCAATGGACCTGAAAGAAGGCTGACTGGCTGGGGCATCATGTTGTTTCAACTTCATCATAAGAGTCGATGCGATACCTTGAAGCTGGGTTGGCATATGTCCAATCTTTTCAATCAGGCCGATAAAATCGCAGACAATCTCTGCCTGCTCATTATTCAACATACTGAAATGCCTGGGGTGGGAACCGTCCCAGGTAGAGGCAGTGGCATGGGGAAAACTTTTCGCAACTTGTCGTAATCTCTTGGGGCTGATGGGCCCCAGGGCAATACGATCATCTCTGTCAGGAACGAGCTGTGGTGGGGTATCCTGGGAGGCCTGCCATATTTTTGCCAGACGATCAGCTTCTACCTGCAATATATGCTGGGGCCTGCCAGAATACTGCGACTTAAATGGAACCGACGAGGGCCTCCAGGCCTCCAAACGCTTAGTCCATCGGTGAGCCCACCCCATTCCTCCCTTCATGTTGTCCTGGACCCAATCCCTCCATGCCTTCCCGTCGGCAGCGTTCTCTGCCGCCTGCTCCTGATACAGGAGCTTGGTGACGTGCTCTAGCAGCTCGTCCAGAACCTGGATCGCCAGCGCTTGGTTCAGGGCACCAGCGCTGAAATCAACGTGCAACAAACCCGCGGCAACTCTAATCTCGTGCAGCCCCTCCTTGAGGGACACGACGGCGGTGCACAACTCAGGGCAATCGTCTAAGCTGTCGAGAGCGTCCTGAAACTCAGTGAGATTCCAGTCCTGAACACATCTATGGAAATCTTGAATCCTATTGATGAGCCATCTCAAAGGGCCCGTGTAGGCCACCCATTTAGCCCTACTCCTAGCAGCCTTGGCCTCAGCGGGGACCATAAGAACCTGAGGGGGGTGGGCCCTGGGGTACTTGCTAGGCTTGAGGGGGGTGTTAGTTTTCTTACTGATTGTAGCTTCCAAGTCCTGGGCCAAGCTGAAATACACGTGGTCCAGGAGCACCGACTGCTGTTGATCGCTGAGCGGCCGTCGAGCAGCATCGATCAATTGTGAAGCGTACTCCAATGCAGCAGCTGACTGGTGCCAACTCACTTCTGGCAATTGCGGGCCCACAAGAATACGTGTGGGTAGCTTCTGGGGCCTATGCAGCGTGGGGATATTAAAGTTATTCTCAACTACAATATCTAGCAGCACAGGTCTGCGAGGGGAGAGAGGGCACGAGGAAAGAGTACGGGGGTTTCTGAGCCACGGCGCGAGGCCTTGGCTAGACACGAAATAATCAAGAGTGGATTTGGTCTTCTTATTTCTGTAGGTGGCGGTCGGCGGCACAAGCAGGGCCATCGTGGACCTGGACAGGAACTCAGCTTGGGTCAACCGAGAGGGGGCCAGGTTAAAATCCACCGCAACCAAAACTGGATGGGTCGAATCATCCTGAAGTTGGCCTATGGCGGCCAGAAGTTTTAAATTGGTCTCGGAGAGACCAGCAGCAGCCTGAAAATAGGTATTACATATGGCGAACTTCGGGACCCCAGGAAGTTCGAGAAGCACCCCCGATAAACGAGCGGGGTCGAAAGCGGCGGAAAAAGTGATCGGCTGGACCCCCAAGTCCAAGCCATCCCGAATCAAAATCGCAACTCCCGAAACCAACTCATTATTCTCATTCCTGGCTGCAGGCGTGATGTAAGCCAGCCACCCCTGGGCCGAGCACAGTTGTATCTGACGCACAATGCTATCTCCGTCGGCAAGCTTACACTCCTGAGCACAGATGATCTTGACTGCACTAGACTGCGGCGAAAGAACAAACTTACGAACAGCAGGCCAGCAATAACCATTGATGGTAGCGATCTTATACGCGTTACCCTGGCGACTTCTGGCCCTGGGCGGCCACAAGCGCAGCAGCCTCGGCCGCCGCCTTGACCTTCTTGGTCTCGGGGCCTGACTCACTCTGGATCTTGACCATGCCCTGGGCGACGTCGGACAGCGCAGCAGCCGCTCGGCGGCGGCCTTCAGACGTGTCCATGGCCTGCGTCTCTGCCATGGTCTCCAGCTCCTTGTCGTCGGCTGGAGTGGGGACGTGCTGACCTGGGATCGGCGCGGGCGTCTGACTAGCCTGGTCATCATCAGGGCTCTCTCCAACTGCAGGGAAACCGTCGATGATGACCCCGCGCGGAGCCGCCACCTCAGGCGGGCCGACACCAGCGGACGCGACCGAGGCCTGGGAGGCGACGCGCTGCTGCTGCAAGGTGTCGAACATGGCGGCCAGCTCCGATACCTTGTCACGAAGTTCTGGTGGGGCCAGTCCTCCTTGTGGCATTCTGGCGGATATGACTCCCTGAATGGTGGTGAGCAGATCTTCGTCTTTTGATGCCCCATACGCAGCCGCCTGGGTGGCCGCATTGAGCTGCGTCTCCAGCGTCTGCACTTCTTTTGCATTAGCTTCGATCTCCTCGACCAGCTTGCCGTGATACTCACTTGCCTCGACAATTGTGGTGACCAGCTCGCTGGCCTCCTGCTTCTGCGACTGCAACCTCTGGCGCAACGCCTGGAGCTGATCTGACAGGGACTGTGCTTGCTGCTCCAGGCTCTTGGCCGACAGAGCCTGCGCCTTGGCGAACTTGAGTTTGCCCAGCGCCGACTTGTGTTCCTCTCCATCTGGCTTCCACTTCTTCCAGAAGGTAACTTGAGCTTGAGCCAGGGCAACTGGGTCATCCGTGGGAACTGCATCTTCGAAGGTGACCGATCTGCCGCCTCCTCGCCCCAGGCCTGGTGGGCGCTCAGGACCGCGGGAGCCCTTCCTCCAGCGTCCTGGCTTGGCCGGCTCCTCCACGACGTCAGGCCGAACGTCCTGGGAGCCTCCTCCACCGCCTTGGGGTCGAGCTGGGGGACCATGATCCCCGCACTGCTTGAAACGGCTACCACACTGCATACAATGACGAGTATTGGCCGAGCACCAAGCCCAGCCTTTACACCCACGCTTCGAGCATACCAAGTACTTCTTCTGCTGGACGGGCATCTCCTGATGGCGGCACGCTGGCGTACGCACACGAGAGGCCCTATGGCAGCACTGAGGCGGGTCGTGACTGTGCCTCTGCCTGGGGCTGACCAGGCAGGCACGGGGGCAGAGCAAACAGGCTTGGGCCCCAGCACCCAGGGCCTACCCTGGATGGCAATGCTGAGACCTGCACCTCCCGCGGTGTGCTCAGGTCTTGAGCCAGGTGGTGGAGGAGGAGGAGGTGGTGGAGGAAGAGGAGGGAGCGCACGTCCGCGGGCCGCGCTCGTGCCCTACCTGCGGTGCGGGCCGCGCGCCCCGCCCCGCCCCGACGACAGCGGCGGCGGCGGCGGCGACGACGACGACGACGACGACGACGACGACGACGACGACGACGACGACGACGACGGCGGCGGCGGCGGCGACGGCGGCGGCGACGACGACGACGACGACGACGACAGCGGCGACGGCGGCGGCGGCGGCGACGACGGCGGCGACGACGACGACGACGACGACGGCGGCGACGGCGGCGGTGGCGGCGACGGCGGCGGCGACGACGACGACGACGACGACGGCGGCGACGGCGGCGGTGGCGATTGCAACGGCGACGACGACGACGACGACGGCCCAGGGCGCACCCTCGCGCGCGCGCGCGCCGCGGCGAGGAGATCAGGCCTGCGCAGGCGTGGGCCGTGCCTGGCCGCAGGCCTGCCGGCGCCGTCTGGGCGTCTTGGGGAGGGAGGGAGGGAGGGGAAATGAGGAGGGAGGATGAGGCGGAAGAGGAGGGGGAGGAGGGGGCGGAGGAGAGAGAGGAAGTGGATGATGATGATGATGATGATGGTGATGATGATGATGATGATGCTGATGATGATGATGATGATGCTGATGATGATGATGATGATGATGATGATGATGATGATGATGATGATGATGATGATAAGGAGGAGAGTGATGATGACGATGACGACGATGACGATGATGATGGCGATGAAGCTGATGTTGCTGATGATGGTAATGCTGCTGGTGATGAGGCAACTGCTGCTGCTGGTGCTGGTGATGCTGATGATGATGATGATGGTGGTGGTGGTGATGATGATGATGATGATGATATTGTTGAGGAGGAGGAGGAGGAAAAGGAGGCGGAGGCAGGGAGGGAGGGAGGGAGGGAGGGAGGGAGGTATGTAGAGAGGTGGAGGAGGAAGGTTGTGGCGAAGGATGAGGAAGACAAGGTGCATCAGCGATGCTGGAATACACGCTCCCGTTCCAAATCTCCGCATCATTAGCCCCTGCAGGCATTTTTTAGTACGAGCGCCCCCCCTTTTGGAAAGACGCGAACCACATGGAACTGCCATCCAAGCGAGCGCCGCGTTTCGAACAGGAAGCGCTCCCCATCTTTCTAGCGCAACATCTGCAACTTTTTCTAGCGCGCCGTAAAGTTCAAGGAAGTGTTCCAAGAGAGCCCGCTTTGAGAAGCGTTCGCCATCCAATCCTGGTGCTGTTTTGAAATTCAACATGCCTGGCCACCAACAACTAGGACGTCTCGAGCGAGATCCCCATTTCGAAAATGAGCCGCCCTCGGTCTGTGAAATCGTTGTGAAAGGAGTCTCCAGCGAGGCCACGTTTTGAAAAACCACCCTCCCTGCGTCCATGTAGTTTTTGGAAACTTTGAAGGCGAGTGTGCGCGGCGCTTGGCTGAAAACCACCTTTTGAAACTACCTGTCTTCCATTATTGTAATAAGTTGGCATATCTAGCTTGATGGTCCTAGGTGGTGAACAAGTATCCGGCGGAACGCCTGGCCCGCACTACCAACATGTCTGGTAGTGGGAGTGGGGCGAGGAGGGGTTGTCTACAAGGAAAAGGGACGGGAACGGAGGAGGCGGAGGAGGAGGATGGGCTTCGCCAGAATAGCATCGAGGGAAGAAGCACGATGACCATGACTGAACGCGGAAACGTCGGAGTCGATCGTCGTCGTCGTCCGTCTTGGCCATTGGCAGTTCGTTGATCATCCTCGCGCATCGGCGACGGCCTGCAGGGACCATTACCACAACCATTTTTCTCTCCGCTGCATACATGTACAGAGAGATTGATACAGATACAGACATAGCGAGAGAGGAAGTGGGATCGAGGGAGAGAGAGGCATGCAGAGAGAGAAGGACGAGAGAGAGAGAGTAGCTCCTCCTTCTCCTCCTTTGCATTCCCGCCTGCGTCGCCGCTGATGATGATGATGCTGCTGCTGTTGATGTTGCTGCCGCTTCTCCTTGTCCTCGTCGTCGTCGCCCTCCTCCTTCTCCTCCTCCTCCATTCCGTTTCCTTGTAGGGCCCGTTTTTACGGCGGGCCGGGCGTTTCGCTTGAGACCTCTTCACCGCTCATGACCCTGAAGTTTAAACATTAACAACAGCTTCACAGATGGAGAGCGGGTGGCTTCCAACATGTGGCTCTCGCCCTAGCGCCGCGTACATTCGCATTCAAGATTGCAAGAGCTTCACGGGTTGAGGGCGGGTCGTTTTCAAAATGTGGCTCACGCTTTAGCGCCGCGCACATCTGTTTTGAGCATTTGCAAGAGCTTCACGGATGGAGTGCGGGTGGTTTTCAACCTGTGACTCTCGTTTTAGCGCCGCGCACGTTCTTTTTAAACATTCGCAAGAGCTTCACGGATTGAGGGTAGTTTCTTTTCAAAATGTGGTTCTCGCCTTAGCGCCACGCACATTAGCGCCGCGCACGCTCGTTTCAAAAATTCGCAAGAGCTTCACGGATTGAGGGCGGTTTCTTTTCAAACTGTGGTTCTCGCCTTAGCGCCGCGCACAGTCTTTTTTTGAAATTTATTTTCTTCCTTTTTTAATGCACGATGGATTGAGGGCGGGTCGTTTTCAAAATGTGGCGCTCGCCTTAGCGCCGCGCGCATCCGCTTTACACAATTGCAACAGCTTCAGAGCTTCACGGAATGAGGGTGGTTGAGCAGTCGCAAGAGCTGCACGGTTTGAGGGCGGCTCCTTTTCAACATGTGATTCTCGCCTTAGCGCTACGCGGATATGACTTCAAAGTTGCAAAACGTTCACGGGCTCCCATGGCCAACGTACCAGGAACGGTGTTTAGGAACGTTTCCAGATTATCAGGATGCAACAGTTACGGTGCTCCGCGGTGTTCAAGTCCCAGGAATGGCTGT